ATCTTTTTGGACTTAAATGAGATCCTCGTTTGCTTCCCTTTTTGACAAGCATCACAAAGGTGATCCTTGGTGAACTTTATTTTGGGAAGTCCTAAGACTAGGTCTTTTGAGACTACCTTATTGAGTAAGTCAAAATTAACATGCGCTAAACGCCTATGCCATAGCCATGAGTCTTCACTCATAGTTATGAGGCATTTGTCGCTTGTTAATGATACTTCATTTAAGTCAAGCATATATACGTTGTTTACTCTAAAACCATTAAACATATTCTTCTTATCATTTTCATGCATAATTTTGCAACAATCTTTTGAAAAAGATAAATTGTATCCTTTGTCGCATAATTGGCTAATGCTAAGCAGGTTATGTTTAAGGTTTTCGACAAGCAACACGTCGGAAATCATAGTAGAGGCGGGATTACCTACACTACCTTTACCTAGTATTGCTCCGCGGTTGTTATCACCATAAGTTACGTACCCTTTCTTCTTAGCCACAAAGTCTATGAATAAGGATATGTCTCCAGACATGTGTCTTGAGCACCCACTGTCGAGAACCCATCTTCTCTCGGTGGTCTCGACACATTTCACCTATCAAAACATAATTAGCACAAGGAGGTACCCAATGGCATATTGGGTCCTAATAGGTTAGCGACAAAATGGTTGCGTTTGGGCAACCATTGGTAGATGCCTTTAGGAACAAGAAATCTCCTAAACCGGCATTTACCAATGGAGTGGTCTTTCTTGCAACAATATAAGCATGCAAAATCGACTTTAGAGACACTTTCACTTGCTTGATCCCTAATTACATATGCATATTTTTGGTATGGGTTAATCATACTTTTTCTAAAATCCTTTTTATCAATAGCAAATGTAACTTTAGGCTCAAGTGCCTTGTTTAATTTGGCCTTGAGGTTTCTAACCTCACCTTGCCAAATATGACAAGTATCACACCCGAAGTTGAAAGGATTTCTATTGTCCTTACAATCCGATTCATTGCCTTTCACAATGGAAGCCTTAAGGTCCTCTAATTTCTTTTCGGACTCTTTAACTGTGCTCTAAATACGTAAAAAAAATCTTATTAGAGGCAAGTTTCTTGAAGGCTTCAACTGCTTCATTATGTAAGGCATTAAATGTGGTTTGTAATTCTGAATGCGACATATTTGAGGACTTATCATATTTAGAGTGACGTACCTGTTTTTTCTTATTTTTCTGATTAGCGAAGAGGCATAGATTCACGGACTCTTCTTCATCACTAGAGCTTTCATCAGAGGAGGAAGAGTCGTTGTCACTTTCCCACACTATGTACGCTCTCCTAGGCTTTGATGATTTCTTGTGTGACTTTGATGATTCTTTGTCCTTTCCCTTTTTGTTCATCGGACAGTCCGGTTTGTAGTGACCGGGCTTTCCACACTTGTAGCACGTCCCTCTAGTCTTTTTACCTTTTGAATCATCATCCTTGGAGTACCTCGATTGTTTCCGGAAGTTTACCAAGTTCTTCTCGGAATGTTGGAGTCGTTCTTTCTCACGTAACGGTTATACCGTTTGACAAACAACCTCATATCTTCGCTCTTATCCTCTTCTTCTTCGTCGCTTGAGGAATAATCACTTTGCTCTTTTGCTTGAGACTTCGAGGAGGAAGTCTTGAGAGCTATTGATTTCTTTTCACTCACCTTCGTTTTGTCTTTCTTTTCCATCTTTTCGCGTTGGTCTAGGCTCAAGAGTACCTGTTCATACTCTTGTAGTTTGCCAAACAATGTTGTCAAGTCTAATAAGGTAAGATCGTGTGCTTCTTTGATAGTTGTTACTTTAAGCTGCCATTCCCTGTTAAGACATCTTAAGATCTTATTAGTAGCAATATCATTGGAAACAGGCCTACCTAATGAATGTAAACGATTGATGAGATTAGTAAATCTCTTTTGCATGTCAGCAATGGTTTTCCCTTGCTCCATGAAAAAGAGATCAAACTCTTGTGTTAATGTATTGATTCTAGCCAACTTAACATCGTTTGTCCCCTCATGGGCTATTTGTAGTGAATCCCACATGGCCTTAGCAGTAGGACAATGGGATACACGATAGTATTCATCTACACCTAATGAGGAGATTAAGATGTTTTTAGCTTTCCAATCATAATTGTATTTTTTTCTCATCGTCATCAGTCCATTGTGCTTCACGCTTTGGCACAACTACGTTATCCGCATTGGTCATAGTAATTTCTATTGGACCATTGAGGATAACGTTCCAAATTTTTCTGTCTATGGAGTTTATATGCACACGCATACAGTCTTTCCAATAACTATAATTTTCACCGTTGAAAACGGGAGCCCTATTGTACGCCCCTTTTGGTTCGTTAGCCATATTCTATCTACGTTGTATTTGAAGCACCGAATAACCGGAGCTCTAGATACCACTTGTTAGACTATGGCACGGATCTAGAAGGGGGGTTGAATAGATCCCCAATTAAAATTTGAGTCGGCGCTACCAATTTAAAATTGGTTTTAAAAATGTTTTAAGTGCGGAAGCGGCCGAGGAAAATATAGTCTAAAACGAACGGTTATTAGAAAACCGGATATGCGTAAGCCTTTGGATTAATGACAATTTGGAAAATAGAATCACAACACTAATTACACTTATCAATTATTTACTTCAGTTGTAAGGATTCCTAGTTCCAATGATTCAAAGAGCAAACCAAAATTAGATACACAAGTAAGATAATTTTGGTTCAAGCAATATGTCAAACACTTGGTGTGCAAAACACTCCAAGTGATATTTATGTTGAGTAAGTGATTTCAACCAGCCTAGTACAATGTCTTGTTGTACTTTGGAGTCAAAAACAGAGTTTTAACCTCTTACTCAATTGATATCACAATTTTGACAATAGAGCTTATACAAAAATCACTTATTTTGAGCTATAACGTAAATGTTGAAAATAGAGAAGACAAGTATTTGGTGAGGCAGTTCCCCCGTCGTCCTTGCTTCGGGGTACGTCTGCCCTCAATTCTAAAACTAGAATTGAGATAGATTTTATAGATATCACCTGTTGAATGTAACAGTTTATACAAGGATTGAGCAGCAAATATACAACAGAAATCTCAATGTGTTGAAAGTTGCCTTCACTCCTTGCCCCTTGATTCAAGATGAATCAAGTTCTCCGATTTGTGTTGATGGACCTCCGACTCCAGCCACCTTATTGAATAACACTTTGTTGTTCAAACCTTCGGCTCCGGCTGATCTCAACAGCACCAAATCGACCCCGAGATCTTCCCTTCAAAATCACCGAATCTGCTACTAGACTTGTGAAGAACACCTCTTCACAATCACCTTCGCTCGGTTGACTCTTGATGAAAAATCTCGTCCGAAAACCCCCAAATTTCAAACCAATCTTGGAGGGCAAAACCCTAACGGTTTTATTCAAGAAAGAACCTGTCACAAGCTTCAACTCGAACTTGATTCTCCAATCTAAGCTTCGAACCTTATCACCTTGAATCTCTCACAAAAGCATTTCAAAAATGATTGTGTATAATTGAAATGTTGTGAGATGTTGAAGATGAAGATGATGAATCTTGGACACCTATTTCACTCTTTCTTGTTTTTGAACACATGAATCAAAAGAATATCAAATGTTAATATGACACAAGTGGTTAAACAAGTATATATAGTGCCAACAGGATTCTAGACATAACAGTATTTCAAATATAAGAGGGAAGCATTTTAAAACAGATTTTCCGCGCGAACGGTCGACCACAGCAGGTCTGTGCGTCAACGCATGGCCTGTGTTGTTTGGAAATCTAGAAAATTCATCAGTGTGCGTCGACCATACAGTCGGCGTGCGCTGACCCGTTGAAATCTATTTTCATTATGCGCCGACCCTATGGTCGACTCATGCCTTTACGCGCTGACCCGTTGGAAAGTTATTCCTTCATGCGCCGATCCTATGGTCAACTCATTGTGTTGTGCGCTGACTAGTGCAGAATTGTTCTGATGCATGCGCCGACCCTATGGTCGATTCATGCCCTGCAAACCTGCAAAAATTCATCAGTTTGAGGTCTTTCATGCTTTTGGTCATGATTGCATTTTATCTACACATAATATATTCATTTCAGTAGTTTTAAGACAAGTATAAAAGGATATGGTGGGTGATACGTTGCATCTGTTTTAGTAGATCTGGAGTTCATAATTTCCAATCTATCCAGGGAATTTGTCATCATCGAAACCTGCATTAATCAATGTCTTGCAGACTTGTGTGATGTGTGGCGATTTGCCTCCACATATACTAAGAGTCAAGAATTATGGTTGATGAAACAGAGAATACCAAAAGGGGTTTTGGGGATTGATCGTCAAGGATCCGTCTTTCAAGGCTTGCAGGTTGGAAAATACTCGATTTGATCATGTTGTAGCTAAGGCAATGGGAGTGAGTTGGGTTTGCAGATGGCTATGGAACAAAACATCAGAGATGTCTGTGTATACTGATCTTATATTGTTATTGCCCACTATTAAACGTTAAAGGAAAAACTATCCGGGCAGCTATTAAACATGTTATGCGTGATTGTAGGCATCTGATAATTAATTCAGGAAATGATTCATCATTTGCTAATGCAATTTTAGGTATGAACCGTTCAGTTTAATAGGTAAAGATGCTTTTTTTTTGTTGGATTTTGTCTAGAAAAGGAAAGGTTACTAACCATCCAACATCTTAGCTCAAGCTGGGCGAGTAATGATAGTTTCCATCCTCAATAGCAAGAGTTAAATTTACACAAGAAAATTTAAGAATAATCTTAACGTTCCACATTCTAAATTTTTGAGACATGATTTCTCTATATTTCCTTCCTTTGCCACAGTTGTAATAGTCACAGTAATTAGTATTATAGTCACATTAATAATTAATACATGTTACATTGGTTGTTGAAGATTTGGGTAAAGGTTGAAATTTCAAATTATAGAAATGTCTTTTCATGTTACCCCTCTCCCCAAAAATAAGTAAAAGGAAAACCAAAAAATACACAGAATTTAAAAGTACCATTTTGGTCTCATTTCCTGCTCTTTATCTGTTAATTCCCTATACTGGTACCACTCTGCCCCAGCCTTGCCTACTGGTATCGGTGGCCTTACAAAAATCTCAACAGGTTTGGGGAGGTGTATGGCTATACGCAATTCACCTGCAATCTCTATCGGTTTTTGTTGTTTGAGTTTGTGCGACCTACTAACCGGCTCAACAGTAAGCCATCCTAGACCTGATATAGCAATATCACAGGCTGGCCTGCACAAAGAAAAACAAGAAATTTCATATTTGTCTATTAATATTAACCATAAATATAGGCACATTTGGCAGAAATGATTTAACAATGAACTCTAGAATTAGTCGAACAAGGTATCCAATTCTAATGCAACATTAAAACTTTTTACATCCAAAAGTTGATAGAAGAAACTAACTAAGAATTATACCTTTCAGCATCTTCAAATTTTATTTGCAATTGATGCTCTGAATCAAGCCCTCTCCAGTTCTCAGCCTTCTCTCTACCACTTGGTGGGGTTAGCAGAAGTCCAATTTCTTTCTGAAACAATAACGCGAACCCATCATTCAGGTTTGAAGAAATAAGTATATCCTTAAACTTACATACAGATGTCACAAATCCCCACTTTTGTTGACATTAAAGTGGAAAATGGAACGTGGACAAAGTTAATAGATCCATAGAATGACTATCTTGTGCATGTCGCTCCTAGGTAGAAAGCAATATGAATAACAAACCTAAATAAGCCAAAAAGACAAGATAATTTTAGCTTTGCAAGGCAAAAAGGAACCAAAAAAGAGAATTTGTAGATTCTAATGCAATTTTATCACAGGCAACTAGAAGTCAAGATGTAGTTATAAATTCCTTCCACTTATGTAAAACCCAAGCTATATTATTAATGTAAAATAGCTTTTCAAATCTGATCAACCTAATAGCAACAAAACAAGAAAGAACTGCAGTACTTCCAACTTTTGTTATTGAATAATGTTCTAGCAACCAAAAGCAAAAATATGAACTGGTGCCAAAAGATTCCATCATAAATTGGCATTCTTCAGATTTTTTTTCTGTAAAAAATCTGAAGCACCTTTATTTTTATCCTAATAATGCTTATCTAGAAACATGAACTTAGTTGCAACCAAACCAAACGTTAAGCAAACTATAGTAATTTAGAACAGATTTGAGCCATAACACCAAGTATCTTATTGTTTCTAATAAAATATTGATTCACAATACCTGATAAAATTCATCCGCTTTCTCTGTGGGCACCATATGAATTGGTATCCGCTTGGGCCCGTAAAATGTCAAACATGTTTCTTGTAGAGCCTGAAATCATTAAGACTGATAACTTCAAGGGAAAGAGGATGAAATGAATTATAAATAAATGGTCATGCGACATGAACTATAAACTGAAAAAGAAAAGATATAATAAAAACCTTTAAGACATCAATTCTAACAAGACCTCCCCAAAATATTGAAAATCCATTCAAGCCATTTACTGTTGGAGCACCTTCCTCTGTATTGTTCGAAATAACTTGAGAGCTCTAACCATAGCAATGAGGATAAGTTAAATTTACTTATGATTGTACAATGTCGTAACAGTTTTTGAAACATACCGGGAAAGATAGGCCCCTCAGTCGGCTTTTAGGAGCAAGGGAGGATAGATCTTCGGAATGAACGACTGCAGTTTGCCTATGGTGGAGATGAACTCCTGGAGTGTCATACAGTTTCTGCATTTGATAGGGAAAAACAATTTAAATAAAAATAAATGATTAGACAGCTTTTTGGCCTAAATATATAAATCAGAGAGACATACCCCTCCTCCAAGGAAAGCATTAATTGGAATTGGCCCTAAGGTAGTTCCAGGAACAGCCGACTGTACTGGTTTGTATCTTTGTGCAGATGCAGCCACTGGATCGTTTATAGCCATTGTCTCTAGCATCAAATATCAAAAGGTCAAAAAGGAGAAAAATGTACATGAATACCTGAAATTGTCAAAATGATAGGCCATATAAAGAATAATTTAGAAATTTAATGAAAAGTTAAAGACATCCATCATTGTCTATATAAACAGAACTACATTCGAGCTATACACAGATTGATGCGGAAGCAGAATGCCAAATGAAACAAGTAAAACATATAAATCTGCTAAATATCAGATGTATAATGCAAGTGTACACTGCTGTTTTATTGCACAATAAAGGTGTTTAACCTGCTGGCTTAAAAATACCTGCTGCCAGCCGCATTAAAATCATAGCTTGCGTATTGTTCAACATCAATGAAAAGCAAAGTATTCAAGAATATTGTAAGCAATGACTACCATGGAAAAAACCAATACAACATTCTGTACAAGACTGATAGAACACTAAGGTCCAATATGTGTGATGCCAATAATTGGAGATTGGGCCTAAATCATACAAGCACAGATTCTAGAAGGTTGTAGAAGCTGTGAGAATAATAGTAAGTTGAGATATTCCCTGAATTTTAGGGAATTTTCTGTAATAAGAGGGAAGGGTGATGTGTTATTCATTCAGAAAAGTTGTTAGTGAACAGGTAGGAGAAGAAATTATCTGGTTAGGAGTTCTAGTAGTTCTGATTTGTCATTTTCTTCCCGCATTTCCACCATTGTAAGAGCTTTAAGCTCAAACATTTGCTATTAAACATGCACCTTGTTACCTGTAAATTACTGTTCCTATCATTGGCCTGACCTGCCGGAAACAGAGAGAAGAGACGGTGAATCGACATTGTGAATGCACCAAAGATGGTTGATTGTGTAGATGCGTTGGAGATGAGAATGATGACGATGGAAGATTCATTGCACCCAACTCTGGAAGAATTTCATCACACTACGCTGGCTGAATTTGCGAAGTTATGAATTGTCTCACTGAAGAGAGACCGCATTCATCTTTCATTTAATGAACCCGTGTCAGAATTCAAGATGGGAGTGAAGAAGGTGCCCTTGTTTGACGGAGAAAATCCAATAGGGTGGATTACGATCTCTGAGACGTATTTCGAGGTGCGAGACTCCTCAAAGACGGTGGAGGTGAAATTAACGAAGCAAAGCATGGAGGGGGCGACAATCTACTTGTTCAAATCTTCTACGTGAAACGGAAGATGACTTGATATGGTTGAAACTGAAACAATCTCTGATTGAAAGGTACGGGGGAAGGCAAAGTGATAATCCATTTGAAGAATTGAAAGATTTGATGCAAATCGAAAGTGTGGATGAGTATATCAGAGTCTGAATACATGTCTTCTCAAGCGGGTCATTCGCCTGAAGATCAATATATAGGAATCTTCGTCGAAGGACTCCAACCAAAGATCAAATTGAAGGTGAGGATCTTAAATCCTCGCACACGAGTTCGGGCGATAAAATTAGCAAGGGACGTCGAGACAGAATTGCGAAGGGTTTAAATTCCTCAAACGGTGGAGGAAGATACTCAAAACAAAAGAAAGGAGGAAAAGAGTTCAATTTTGGGTTGTGTTTAAAAAGATTATGGGTCAGGTCAGTTTTCAAGCCAACGTAAAGGAAAATGAGGGCTTGGGTTAAGCAAGTCTTAGAATTTGGGTTGGGACTAACTCATCCCTACTAGACCAGCTTGTAAGGTGAAGGCTGCTCAAGCTTTATAAACACTACACAAGCCATATCTCTAAGAAACATGGGACTAAATCCGCCCCTTCAAACCCAACACAATGAAGGTGTTGAAGGCTGTAATGAAGGCAGGCCAAGTGCCGCAATGAAGGCGGAATATTGAATATTGAAGTTGAATGTCGTCGTACCAAGGCGAGTCAACAATCTAAGGTTACTAATGTTGCTCTGGTCACTAACTACAATCACTGAGGAAGTTGCTATTTATGCCATTAATTACAATTAAATCCTCCAATTCAAAGCAGCCCATAAGTCCACTTTTTTGTCGTTGTTTCTAAGCCAGGTAATCTCGTTGCTTAAGTTTCTCAGTCGTCCTTGGACCCTGGGTACACGATTGGTAACAAATATTTTTTTTCTTACCTATCTACTCTAATTCTTTTCCCTTTGTCACCTTAAGGAATGATTCTAAAATCAAGTTCAAGGTCGTGATCATGGTCAAGCACCCCCTTCCCAATCTTTCCTTAGATGTTGTGGTTTATGTTTCTAGTCTTCCTTTTAATTTAATATCTGTTAGCAAACACTGGCAGCACTGATATGAGTATGGAGGGTTAAATAAACTTTCGTCGTCAATAGCCTATGCTATGCTTCCTCTTGAACCTTTGCACGTGAACACTTGGGTCACTCTAGTCTTAATAACATGTGGCATATGGTTCCTAGGTTTTCTAAAACTTCCTCTTTTGAATGTCAGCCTTGTCAAGTAGGAAAGCATACTCATCATATTTATAGTCAACAAGCCAAGAAAAGTGTTGTCCCCTTTTGCGTTGGTTCATTCTAAAATAAAAGGTCCAGTTAGGATCCTTATTTTGAGCAAGAAATAATTCCAAGAATAATGGTGTAAAACAGATTAAAATAAATAAGGTTACAAACAAATGAAGGATTACTTATTTTTGTAGTGGGATTGAAAGAAAAGATACAAAAGGTTTACAAAGGAGCACTCTACTTTAACACTGCATTAACCAGACATAAAATCCAATTATTTAAAGACTTTCTATGAATAACCAAAATAACTCATAGCAACCATCTAACCAACTCATCAATTTACTAACTTTGTGAGGGAGAAATTGGTTTCAGGTGAAATCACAAATGGTCTTGTCAACTTTGGTGATTAGCTAGCTGACACATTCATTAAGTCCATTGGATGCTCTTAGGTGGACCACATTTGTAACATGTTTGGCTCATTTGACATATAAGCTCTTCTAGCTTGAGTAGGTTCTTATTTTGTAAATAATAATAGCTAGGAATTGGCAATAGCGTTGCACAAATTAAGGATTTAATTTGATCCTACGTAATTATTAATTGAATCCTTCTATAACTATAAACATAAAGCATGTAGATATAATCTCTTTTTGAGGTTGTAGATATAATCTCTTTTTGAGGTTGTAGATATAACTTATAAGGCATAAGTTTCACAACTTTTCAATCATAAAAAGTCCATAAGCTTAATCCTAGTGTTAGAAAGCATGTTATATATGACTTACTTAATAAGGCATTGATGAAAGCAGATTTCCCAACATTAGCTGAACCCTATAAAATAAAGGCATATGTCAATTAGCTGAACCCTATAAAATAAAGGTATATGTCAATTCAGCTCTTGGCTCAACTGGTAAAGTTGAAGCTTTAAATGCAATGGGTTCTATACATACTACACAGAGGAAATTCTAATATTAATATTACAAACGAGTTGCGATACAAAAGGCCACAGATGAATCTCCAGCACGTGAGCTAGAGTAGCACATTTACAGCAGGAAATAAAATACATTAAATGAGTACAATTTAATATATTGGTTGATTTGGTTCTTCTATCATTTGTGGTAAGCCAAGAAAATATAACATATTCCAAAACAACTTAGTAAAAACATCAAAGAGTATTAGCTCCTCTGCAATCATAACCTACTTAAGCATATGAAAATCTTGTTCAGAGACTTACCAGAATGTAAACATCTCTTCCCTACACAAAAGGGAAAAAATGGAATTTCAGTAGAGAAAAAAATAGGAAAAATATCAAAAACATATGAAATTCATAGTTTATTTTGAAGTTCGAGTTAAGACACCTCAGCCCTAAATCATCACGACATTTTCTCAATATCTTCCTATGTACATCCCACACAGAATGCAGATACATAGACATTTGGAGGGGAAAAGTATCACTATGTATCATCATTATTTTAGTTCCATGGTTTCCAATGATGCTTTTGACAAGAGGAAAAACAAATTTGAAAAGAGAACATCGGATTAAGTTTCCTACACCGGTTATGTCTAAAAGCTATATAACAGCCCATGACATGTTACAAGTTCATTTGACAACAATGCAAAAAACATTCCAAATTATTATCAACATTATTTACAAAGTTATATGTACAGAATCAACATCTTTATCATAAATGTGGACAGTAACTATCAAACAGATTTGTCATCTTAAATGCAATACTAAATGGCAGTGTATATTCAAATTTCCCAAAAAATCTCTTGATAACTTCAAAAATTAAGAACTGAAATCAGTTAAAAGGAATGCAAACCTTCTTCTCTTTCTGTATTTCTGATATCACTCCAGTTATTCCTACCAATGATTTTGAACTGGTGAGATGGACACTGAGAACACTGCAATGAATATCAGCAATTGAAATTTGATATGCTAAAGTCATCAGCTGTGGTTATCAAGTTCCACAAAATTTAAATTGAAGAAATGGATTCATCTAATCACAAGCAATGCAAGTTTAACAGTTAACGCCAAATGTTGCAAAATTCACATTCTCAATCTTAACTTCTAGAAGCAGATAATTGAACAGCGTGGTAATATGTCACAAGTTAGCAATTTCAAAGGCAAGAATTAATACAAAGAAGATACATACTTCAGTTTCTTTCTTGTGATAGCCTCTACAACCCAATCCCCAATACAATTAAAATCAGTATCTCTTGGAAGGAGATCCACCTACAAAGAGAACATTCTATCAAATGTGATAATCATAATAAAAATCAGTATCTCTTGGAAGGAGATCAACATACAAAGAGAACATTCTATCAAATGCGATAACCATATAGTTGTGTATTTAAAATCTTATCATAAATTTGCCAAAAAAATCCTACTAAAATTAAAAATAAATTGTGTGCATGTAATTACCTTAGTCACCACCATTATTATTGGATTAGCACCAGCAAGATCTCGCACTCGGGACAAAAAACTGCCATTGAAGTCAACAACATCAACCTAGAAGTGGTTACCTCGACAATTAGACAGAGAAGCTTTTTTCCTTTTGGTATTTCATAATTGCTAATTAGAAATAACAAAAGGTAGTTTAAGCATTGCAGAATCTACAAAATGTTCTGTGATAATTTGAAATTTTCAGACTCTTGGTTGATAGACTTTTCTACCCAAAAAAATTAGAGCATGCTCTTGATGTTTTATTGGATGATAAGCATAGCTAAATCAGAATGACAACTAGAGAATAATAAATGCATAGCAGGAAACTATAGGGTCAAGATTTCTTTTGAAAAGGATTGATATGTTTTTTGTGACATACTACCATTGGTTGGGGAAAACATATGTAATACTTATGACATGTTTATATGGGAAAGAAATATTTTGTATGGATAAGGAAAAGACATATGCCGCTGTGTTTCGTTAAGATCACAGGTATCTTAATAAATTTGAAATTTTCAGACTCTTGGTTGACAGACTTTTCTACCAAAAAAATTAGAGTATACTCTTGTTGTTTTCTTGGATGATAGGCATAGGTAAATCAGAATGACAACTAGAGAATAATAAATGCATAGCAGGAAACTATACAGTCAAGATTTCTTTTGAAAAGGATTGATAATGTTTTTTGTGACATACTACCATTGGTTGGGAAAAATATATGTAATATTTATGACATGTTTATATGGGAAAGAAATATTTTGTATGGATAAGGAAAAGACATATGCCGCTGTGTTTTGTTGAGATCACAGGTATCTTAATAAATTGTAGACATGATTTATAGATAAGAAGGTTATGGATCAGTGTTGTCAACCGCAGATAGCAGAAAATAACTGATTGTTAAAATCCCCCTATATTTGGCAACATTTTGTACCAAATAGCTTATCGCGGAACAAAAATTGTTTGTCCAGATTTGCTACGCTATAGCAATATAGCGCCGTCATACCGGCTACTGGCTATTCGAGTCACAATATAGCAATATAGACATTAGTTTATGGATTAATCAGAAATATCAATATCTATTCTTAAAAAAATTGTCCATTGACTCCAACAGAAATCAAAATTTGCTGATTTTACATAAAGAAAATGTCAGATAGGTAAGTTTACCAATTTGACAATTAAAGCTTTGGCAGTACGCAAATGAGTCAACTTTTGTCGAAGATCTTCTGCGGTAATGAATTGTTTCCCCCCAGAGTATCCTCCGTGTCCTCCAACGGCAGTTATCATTTTGCCATGAGACAAAAGCTGGCACCGCCCACAGAGAACGGTTCTAAGCTGGTGATGTTTCTTCTTCTGCGACACAATAACAAACAAGCAATTTCACACCACACTAACAGCATTGTGTAATTCAGAAACAACCGATTGAAGATTTTATGTTTGCGATTAGATAATAGATATACCAATTCATAGGTTTCAGAATCAACAAAACCAGGAGCATCGTTATCGGAAATTTGTAAAGGAGCGCCGCAACCATAGCAAGAAGTAACGGCATTGGAAACTTTCAGAGGCTTCTCTTTCTTTTTACTCTTCTTGTTCTCTTTGAGAAAGAGTTTGGTTGACTCAAATGACTGTTGGCGTTGGAGGAACTTCTCGCCGGGGGAGGGAGCAGCGGCGCCAGTGCCTTCTGGTATGGAAGGACGTGAGAATTCGCAGAGAATGAGGGAAGGTTTGGTGTGAATTTTTGGAAATTTGTGATTTGGGAGAGAAAGAGGTGTTAAAAAAGTGGATAGGGTTTTAAGCGCCATTGCTGAGGTTTTGTGTGCCCTCTTCAGAATTCAGTTGCAATCTCTTACCGGGAAATTATTATGACAGAAAACCATTGGGTTTAGTAAGGGTGTGTTTGGTAAGAGGCTGTTATTTTAATATTGATATGTTTGGTACTATTATTAAGAGCAACTTTAAAATTCTTAGCTTACGTTAGTAATAAGAAATTTGTATTATATGAGAGCTGGCATGACATCCAAATGAACTAAAATTTAGTTCCCATTATCTATATAGTTAACGTTAACTATTCATGTGAAACCTATTATAATATTATTTAATATTAATAAAATATTCCAAATATTCCAACAACGTTAAAGTAAGGGTATGATATTTAAAAATAGTAACGGTCATATTATATTTTTTACCTTTTATAAATTCTATAGAAATTTTAATTTTTTTTACACACAGTTTTACTTCTAAATTTTTTTCTTTCAATTTTCAATCTTATTTATTTATCAAATGGATCTCAACCAATCGAATCCTTATTATAATTATATTCCTATGAAAATGTAATTTTTTTTATGTATTATTGTTGTGAATTTTGTATCATTTTTAATTTTATAATAAAATATACTTAATATTATTTTTAAGTTTTTAAGGTAAATTTTATTTTAAAAATTATATGTATTTTAATTAAAATAATTAAATTAATGGTAACTTGAATAAAAAATATAAAATGTGAGGTCAAGTTTTGGTTTCTTATAGACAACCACCATTAAAGTAAAAACTACTCAAATCAACTATAAATTTTTTAAATCCTACAAATTACTTTGGACCCACAAAAAGTATCTTAGTTTACCCATTTAGTTTACTCTCACTAAAGATGCTCTAAGAGGAAATAGAAAGGGAGCAAAATGGTTCTAAAAACCAATTTTGACATATATCGTTAATAAATGCAACATACTTAAATACCTGTCATCAAATGGTATGATGTTTTTTATTTGGAAATAAGTTATCTTATAAAAACAAGTTCTAAAAGGTTTATGAAAAATATTATAGGTTAGTATGTTATAATATATTGTTCCGTACTAGAATCATAATTGATCGGTGAACAACTGATATGGATCGTAACGATTGACTTGAACTTCTGATATGATAGATAATGGGCTGATATGTAAGGTTAACACTCAAACACTCAAGTCAATATAAGAGCGAGATGAAGCAAATGAGATCTGATTTTGAATTTTTTGAGAAATGGCATGTACTCCCTTTTATATAGTATGACAGTTATAACAACTTGGGTTGAGATGCAAGGATCTGTCTAATTAATCTTAGGTTGAGATTGTAAGAGCACAGATTGTGTCTTAGTTATATCTCTATGTTTTGATGATAACACCTATAAATTTTGTATTCAAGAATTATATACTCTAAACGTGTTCTAGATTGTTTGCTACAGGCACTAAAGAAAATTATCTTAAGAAAGCAAAATTGCATCTGAACATTGTTTGTATGAAAGACTTCATAAGTTCAAGAGCATCTTAAGTAAAGATCTGAACACTGCTCCCAGAAGAATCTGACTACTGTTTCTTGAAGATTCTGAAGAAGGAGCCTCTAAAGCATAGAAGACTCTGCTCTGAAGGATTTACACGCTCAAGCACACAAGCTGCACATACTCTGATTCAGCTCAATCTGAAGAATATTCAAGACTCTGAAGATCCAGATGATCTCTAGTCTGGAGACTCTGAAGATTCAGATTCTAATGTTGAAAGCTGAACTTACTTTGAAGAAGTTTTAAATATGTACGTTGGTTTTTCTCAACAGCTCTTTCCTATTTTGTGCTAGACACAAGGACACAGACAAAAAGGTTTTATCTGTGCATTCCATTCTGAGGAAAGTATTCTGCAAGTGAAGACAAAAAGCATCAGGCCTGTTTCAGCACAGCCTCCAATGTGAAGACAAAAGGCTCTAGGCTTTTCTGCACAGCCTTCAACGTAACAAGACTTCTTGGATCTTAGTGCCTATATAAAGAAGTCCACTCCATCTTCTTCAGTATCGAATCTCTAGCAAAATCACTCCTCAAAGCAAATCTTTCAAAGCTCTTAATCATATTACTTTGCTTTATCTTTATTCTTAACTTAAGAGAAATATCACTGTTGTGATAACAGCTTATTAGAAGCATTCTTACTCTTGTAAAAGTTTTACTTTGTTTGTAAAAGGTTTTCCTTAAGAGGATCCAGTTGGGATCAGTTGCTCTTGAGAAGACTAAGAACGGTTGTTCTTAGGTGTTGCTATTTGTAATCTGTTTGATTAAAATAGTGGATTAAGTCCTTGACAGAGAAAGGCAAATCACTCTTGAGAGGGTGGACTGGAGTAGTTGTTTTCAACGAACCAGGATAAAAATATCTGTGTTCTAATCTTTGATTTTTAGTCTTACTTATTCAACCCCCCCCCCCCCTTCTAAGTAATTTTCTCACCTTCAGTTGGCATCAGAGCTCCGGTTCTGCGTGTGCTCCACTTAACCGTGACAGTTAAAGATCCAGTGAGAAAGATACTTTGATATTTGTGTTGTTGCCATTATGGAAACTTCTACATCAACTTGCAACAACAAATATGAAGGAGATAGGATCAGTACCAAGCCACCCATGTTTGATGGGGAAAAATTTGACTATTGGAAAGATAGAATAGAAAGTTTTTTCCTCGGGTATGATGCTGATCTTTGGGATATGGTCATTGATGGATATAAACATCCTACTGATGAGGATGGCAAAAAGATTGATAGAAAGTCAATGACTGAAGTATAGAAAAGAGATTTCAAGAATCACCACAAAGCGAGAACTATATTGCTTAATGCAATCTCTCATACTGAGTATGAGAAGATTACAAACAGAGATACCGCTCATGACATGTTTGAGTCACTCAAAATGACTCATGAGGGAAATTCTCAGGTTAAAGAGACCAAGGCGCTGGCGCTCATACAGAAGTATGAGGCATTCAAAATGGAAGAGTTTGGAAATGTTGAAACTATGTTTTCTAGATTTCAGATTCTTACTGCTGGTCTGAAAGTTCTGGATAAGGGCTACTCAACGTCAGATCATGTCAAGAAGATCATCAGAAGTCTTCCCACCAGATGGAGACCAATGGTGACTGCATTGAAGATGGCAAAAGATCTGAATAAGATCTCCTTAGAAGAACTTATCAGTTATTTGAGAAGTCATGAAATAGAGCTGGAGGAAGATGAGCCCCAGAAGAAAGATAAAGGTAAATCCATAGCTTTAAAATCTAACAAACCTGTTAAAGCTTTGCAGGTAAAAGAAGAAAGTTCTGAAGAATCGTCTTCTGAAGAAGAAGATGAACTGTCCATGCTTTCCAGAAGAATCAACAAGCTCTGGAAGCACAAGGGAAAGAAGTTTAACAACTTCAGAAAAGCTGACCACAGGAAGGAATCTTCTGGATACAGAAGATCTGGAAAGAAAGAGGTCACATGCTATGAATGCAAGGAACCTGGGCACTACAAAAATGACTGCCCCAAACTTCTCAAGGAGAAACCCAAGAGAAAGTTTGATAAAAAGAAAAAGGTTCTTATGGCAACTTGGGATGATTCAGATGAATCTGAATCTGAATCTGAAGCAGAAGAAGAGTGTGCCAACATGGCATTAATGGCTGGGATAGAAGATCAGAATGAAGAATTATCATCTGAATCTGAGTCAGACTCCGACTCTGATGCTGAAGAGGTAATGTCCAAACTTACCAAAGATGAACTTATAAAGGTGTTATCTGAAGTTTTGAAAAGCTACAATAATATCAAACGCAAGAACAAGAAGCTGAAAAGCAATCTTGAATCTGAGATTGATAATCTGAAAACAGAACTTGTTGAGCAGAGAGAAATAAATTTAAAAATAAAGAATGATTTGGAAATTGTTCAACAAGAATCTGACTCTGAAGCTAAGTCATCTGAAAATATTTTGGAAAAATATGACTCTAGTTTTCAGAGGTTCCTCACTAAAAGCATAGACAGAAGCAAGATGGCTTCTATGATCTATGGAGTTAGTAGGAATAAAAGAAAGGGAATTGGATTTCAATCTTCTTCTCTTGAAAAAGATGTAAGACCAATACCTGTAGATGATCTGATCATTAAGATAACTCCTTTATACTCTAATTTTAAATTTGGTCATTTAAATGATATTAAACACACGAGCTCTGAAAAGAATACTCATGTGTTTAGATCTAAGGCAAGTCTAAACAAAAACTATGTTCAAAAACAAAAGTTTAGACAAACCTACAAGGCAACTAACCCTAAAGGACCCAAGAAGATCTGGGTACCTAAAGACAAAATAATCCCTGTTGCAGATGTCCTTAGCAGCAAAGTCAGGACACCAATCATGGTACCTGGACTCTGGATGCTCACGACACATGACGGGAGAAAGGTCTATGTTCCAAAGTCTGGAACTTAGATCTGGAGGGGACGTGAAATTTGGAGGGAACCAGAAGGGCAAGATCATTGGCTCTGGAACTATAGGTAATGGCAACCTACCCTCTATTTCTAATGTTCTGTTAGTTGAAGGATTGAAACATAATCTATTGTCCATAAGTCAATTAAGTGACAATGGTTATGATATCATCTTTAATCAAAAATGTTGCAAAGCTGTATGTCAAAAAGATGGTTCTATCCTATTCAATGGAAAGAGGAAACACAACATTTATAAAATCAACCTTTCAGAACTTAAAGTTCAAAATGTAAAATGTCTCTTATCTGTGAATGATGAGCAATGGGTCTGGCATAGAAGATTGGGGCATATTAATATGAGACGCATATCTCAAATTAATAAACTCAATCTGGTCAGAGGACTTCCTAAGTTGAAGTTCAACTCAGATGCTCTGTGTGAAGCATGTCAAAGAGGCAAATTTTCAAAATCTCATTTTAAATCAAAAAATGTTGTTTCTACCTCCAGACCATTGGAATTACTTCACATTGATCTGTTTGGACCAGTGAAAACTGCATCCATCAGAGGCAAGAAGTATGGGTTAGTCATTGTAGATGACT